AAAGAAGAAAGGGGTAAGAACCTTAGTGAAAGGAGAATGGAATAAAGCGTAAAAAAAAGCCGCAAATACCTTCAGTGATGATTGCACTATATCATTCATCCAAGTCAAAGAACTATGACTTTATAGCTTGGACTTTTCTACTGGACCAATCAAGGGTTTAACCATACGTCAATCCGACCTGATTTTTTCAAAAGATTACCATCGGCAGGGACCTCAATGGTAATCTGCTTCATCTCTCCTCTTCCACTTGAAGAACCAACCTCAGTACGAGGAATGGTGATAGTGGGGACTGAAGAAGAAGTCATAACAGCTTGGGGCGGAGCAAAAACAGTAGTAGTAACAACTGGCAAAGAACACACCACAGGGACAGACATGGTAAAAGAGGCAAGAGGCACTTCATCAGAAACCAAATCCAAATTCTCACTATCAAACCCACGAGAAAAACGTTGTTCATCAGAGTCACGAGCTGCTGCAGGAGTATCATCACCAGAACTCACCAATGTAGCACTAACAGGCTCAGCCACGAGAATAGAACGGGGAGGAGTCGCTTCATCCTCTGAAGACACGTCTTCTGGCCCGTGGCCTTTTAACCAAGGAACTTCCATCCTGTTACTCTTCCTCTTCAGAATCTTGGGTCACATCAGCTTTCCTTTTCGATGAAGAACTCAAGATTATCTCTTGAGCTCTTTCTAAAGAAACTCTGGAAGCCACGATTGCATCAGCACTTACCCCACGTATGGGGAACCTTGATAAAAAGAAGGGTCAAATAAATTCTAAAGGAAAGATGAACAAAAATATAAAAAGAAAGCAAGTAAAGTATTTACCATGAGTTTTGAACTTCCAACCAAACCTGTGTGAAAGGTTTTTCCAAGATCTGCCTTCCATAGGCGCAATAGTCAATAACTTTTCTACCCAGCCACGGAAATTGGGAATCTCGTCAACAGTTCCCATGGTTGCTGAAAAAGGAAAAAGTTAAACAGCAGCAGGAAAAATAAATCCCTTCAGAAAGAAAAAAGGAAGAAAGTTGCGAGATTAAAACTTACGTGCAAAATTCCCCTTTTCGGGGAATGTTACATTTTCTTCACCTACTAAACCTACAGTAGGAGCAACAACAAATCTGGTATACCAGCCATGATCCTTATCATCTTCAAGGCAAAGTAGTACTCTCTTACTCCTCGCCACTAAAGTAAAAATCCCATGGCGGAAAAGTTTAGGGGAGTAGAGGTGGATCAGATGAAAGAAAGTGAAAGGCAAATTAGCCAACCTTGATAAGTGCCTTAGACAAGCAACAACCCTCCACACAATAGGGCCAATTTGTCCCAGACAGACGTTGAAAAAATGGCAGAACTCAATAATAACAGGATCAATGGGGGGTTTGAAATTCAGTGTAAAGGGATATTATACACAAAAGAAAATCCGGTCATGTAAGATGTAATTCTTTGGTTTGCATTAGGAATTATAATAGGGAAGTCAGGGCTCCAATGGAAATCCTTACGGACAACAGAGATTAAACCTTCAATAATCTGAGAAGGGTAAACGTCAACACGATCCAAAGAAGACACAGAAGAAACTTGATTCTTAATTGACTCTCTATCAGAGTAAAAAGATAGTTCAGAAGGGATAATTTCATCAACTAAAGGTTCGTGAACTGGTTCACTAGAGTCTTTATTTCTAGAAGAAGATCTATGTTAAAGAGAACCCCTGGTTCTAGAAGGAGGGGTAGAACTCGATGGAGGTAAAGAAATACCTCGTGTAGATGAAGACCCTGAACTACGCAATCTTCCCCCCCCCCCCTTCTGCTTCTAACAGGAGCAAGGGAAAGTTTATCAACAATGGGGACTCTTCGAGGATTAGGGTTTGAAGAAGACATGGATGTACGAGGAAGAAAACAAGAATGAATATTCTAAGATAGGTAATTTTTTATGAGAAAGACAAAAACGAAAGCTATATTTATACTCAGAAGCAACCGTCAAGGAAAAGGTGTAATGATTGAAACGCCATGATGGAAACTGTCACTTCGTAATTGATGAAGCCGCAATAAAGCCCTAAAAGCCGCTGAAGAATTGCAGATCTGATTAGAAGACGCCACATGTCACGAGCATTAAGTGGAAGTGACATATGAAACGTCAGTTATGGAAAAAGTATAATGGCGGCAAAAATTCCCGCTTTAATAAAGATACACTTCCCAAATATTCTATTGTTGAATAAATGGCAAGTGGGGGGACTATCTGTATTGGAAAAATTCAAATTAGTACATTGAATTTATTATGTGATGATATGTCATGACACGTGGATCAGTAAAAGAACGACAGTTGGCAGAGAATAGTTAAAGAGGCACGAGCTTTAACAGACATGAGCAGAGGTCCAGGAAAGACAGAAGGGATAGGTGCTCGAACCTCTTGATAATTCGGAAAAGCGTCGGAGGAATAAACCTAGATAGCAAAAAAGGATAGATACGTATTATTGGTAGTTAATGAGCATTAACTACGGGAAACGTTATAGAATCTATACTGAACAGTTACGATTGCCAATTATAACGTCGCATTAAATGTCATTAATTGCCCATAATAACTCCATTATGGGAGGAAAGAAACGTATTACTTAGAAATAGCTATAAAAGGAGAGGAATAAACATTTGTAAGGATATGAAATACTATTGGAATACACTGAATTACTTTGCTTTCTATCTTGCAACTATTCATATCAATTATTCTTATTTTTATTTGATTATCAGTAACCCGAGTTCTTGTAATAGCAAGCTTTAACCGAAATTCTTATTTTTTGGTTAAACAACACCCATTAAGAAAATACTAAATTCTAGATAAAAATGGCTAGTGTGACTAAACTACCCTTAATTAAATGTTGCAGTTAGGCGTGGCAAAATAGTTAAAACAGAACAGTTAACCACCCATATGATCCATCAAAAAATGGGTTGGATAATGAACTTTTTAAAAATGGGTCAAATATGGATAAGAACCATATTATCCATATAGTTAATGAATAACCAATGGCTAACCAATGGATAACCAATGAGTCTAACTTTTACATTTGTAAAGCCTCAAATTGGGGATTCCTCAAGTTAGAGAGACTAAGAATTCTCCCAAAAGTGATCATATGCAAGAAGTCATGGATAATATGGTTACCCATATTATCCGCCGGTTAACTCATTTTTTATCCGTATTAAATATGGATCGGATCGGATAACCCGTTTTCGACCCGAACCATATCCTACCCGCCCGCCCGTTTGCCACTCCTAGTTGCAGTATAATTTAATATGAGGAGTAAAAGACTTTTTAGGGATACATACATAAGGGTAATTTTGAAAAAACAAAATGAATTTTTTCTTGATTATATAAATGGACACATATTTTGGACCAAAATAAAAAGGCAAATTAGTCACTTATTGTGGACCGGAGAAAGTACTCAGCTTTGACTTTATTCGCATGCAAAAACCAAATTACTTGGTTGTTACTCATAAGTCATGATTAATGCGTAGCCAAAGACAAATTATTAATACTATTAATTTGTCCCCTAATGCTTGGCGACTTAACACTTGTTAGCAAAGTTTAATTTAAAGAAAGGTCAGTCAAATGTAAAGAAATCTCTTCTTATAGTGGAAACTAAAAAGGATAAGAAAGGTCAACCCTGACTGTATTTTGTAAATATCCATGTCTATCATCTTCATAGTTTAATTGCACGGTTTGAGTTAATCATATTTGTCAATTATTTAATCTAAAACATGGAAAGCTTGTGATTCTGTTAAAAATAAAAGGATGCAAATTAATACGTATAAATAAGAATTTCAATAGTACTATTCAGTCACCAACAAATCATAAGTCGACGTGGTTTCACATTTAGTGTTCATTGCTAATATCGTATTGTTTTCAATTCAAACTATATATTCATAGTGAATTTTTTAAGAAATACTCCATCGGTTTCAACCATTCCAAAATAAATGACATATTTCTAAATTTAAAAATAGTTCAACTTTAAACTTCTTATTTTACCTATTTTACCCTTAATGAGCAGCTTTTATAACCATACAAGTATCATGGCCCCACAAAACTTTTACCCCTTAAGCTTTTAAGGCCATAAATTTCAATTTTTTTTCTTAAACTCCGTGCCGCATCAAACTAATGCATCTAAATTGAAATGGAGAACGGATGGAGTACAATAAACTTATACAAAACTTGAATTTAGAAGATATACAACATTTTATGTCCATTAACATAATCAGAATTATGAGTATAAGTTCAATTTTCACACTATAAACTAACAGCTTGTTTGGATGGTTGTTCCTCTTTGTATTTTATTGTATTATTATTCTAAAACAATGTTTGTTTTGATTGTTTCATTAAAATTGGTTGTATTATATTGTTAAATCCATTGTTCCGGAACAATGAAAAGTCCCCTTTTTTGAAACAACCGATTTGGTGTGGTGGGATTGTTTCCTATTTTTCTTTCCAATTATGCCATAACTTATTACTCCATAATTCTATTTTACCCTTTATCTTTTTTCTATTTTAACTCCAAATCTCCAACTTATAACCTACTTTATTTTTTTCCAAACCAATGTTAAAGGTGTTTTGTTGCCTCCTGTTTTATTTTTTCTCCTAATTTGCTTGTAACTCAATTCTAATTAGTTGTGCTCCTTTGTTTTGCCTTTTTCTGTCTCGCTCCTTTGTTCTGCTTCCTTATTGTGTTTTGCCTTCTTCTGTTTTTGTTTTTTAAAATTATTTTATACATAATTTTGATAAATTTAATATTTAATCAATTGAGGGTATTTTAGTAAACTTATCAATTACAGTACAGTACGATACAGTCAAACCAAATAACAAAATATTATTTAACAATATCAAACAATACAATCTATCCAAACATTGTATTCATAAAACGATACGATACAATACAATATATTATAAAATCATAGGGAACAATGATCCAAAGAGAATGTAAAGCTATCTTATAATAACAGGTAACTATTTATGTGAGTTGGAATATTTTAAAGAATAAATAATAAATAGGAGAAAATAAAGGAGAGAGGAGAGTGGTGGGTCAAAGAGAGAAGACATTGTGTTGAGGCAAATCCATGTGCCCACATGGCGTTGCTCTGCTCATAATACTCTCTTCTTCCATAATCCATACATAACACACAAATTTTACACCCCCTTTAATTTCTCCCCTTAGACCCACCATACACCACAAATTAAAGGCCTTGTTCAATTGAAAGCAAGAATGGAGAAGGGGAGTGAAGGGTTTGTAAGAGCTGATCAGATTGATTTGAAGAGTTTGGATGAGCAACTGGAGAGGCATCTTAACAGGGTAAGAACTATGGAGAAGAACAACATCAAGAAACCACTCGATGATTCTTGCATTAACTACACCACTACTTCTACTATTACTACTACTACTGCAGTAGTGGCGGCCAGCAACCACCCCACAACCACCACCACCCCTACCAACCTTTCTCTATATGTGCCGCCTAGGCAAAGATACGACTGGGAAATTGACACTTCTAAGCTAATCATCAAAAGTGTCCTTGCTCGTGGCACCTTTGGTACCGTCCACCGTGGCGTTTATGATGGCCTTGACGTCGCCGGTCAGTTTCATTTACGTACTATTTTTCTATATCATTGATACCCTAGTTTAACAGGTTCCTTCTCTTTATTTTTGAATTTTAATACTATACGGCTAATGCTAAAACAATTTACATTACCCAAATATCGATCAGTATAATTTAAGCTCTTTTGTGTTACCAGCTCACCCTTATTATAATCTGTTAATTTAGCATCATTATAATGAGGCTGCTTAAACTTAATTCACTTGTTTATTATCTTTATTTAAGCACTGAGCATCTGCAACTTTTCATTTCCATGAATCCTGTCCGTCTCTTTTTAAATTTTTATTTCTGGGTTTTGGGGGGGGTCTGTCCAGCATACAGAAAATGTCGACATTCTTTTTCCTTTTCATTTTTTCTCCTAATCTCTAATTAATTAGCTAATTTACAAGGATCACACCGTTCCAAGAAACTGGTTTTTGTATAATTAACAGAACAGAGAGGTAAAAGTGGGTCGTGCAAAAGAATTAATTTAATTTATGGCATAATAATTGTATATATTTCCTTTTCTTCTTACTCTTTTCAGGGGTTGTTCTTGTGGTTATAGTCGGGCTCCAATGCGGGTACCGGATACTGGGTGGTAAACTAAAAAAAAAATTAAACATTTCTTTTTCTTTTTCCTAATTGGTGTTCGGGGTGTGTTGGGCGGAGGGGTTTTGGATTTTGCAGAATACTGGTTCGTCATTTTGAGCTTTTTCTTATGGAATCCGTGAATAGCGGCACGGGTTTGGGTTGAAAGTTTTTGCAAGTTGCAGATGACGGCATTAACTTTGGGTGGTCTTGCATTTGTTGCTGTATTTCTGAACTTTCATGTGATCCAATCTGTTATTGAAGTATTAAAGTAATCTGAAATTAATGCATGACATCTACAATTCTGGATCTCATTTTCCTCTTCTCTCGTTATTAATGCTATTCTTTTTTATCTACTAGCCTTTTGGTCATGATAGTTTGGTTGTCATTGTCACTGCTACAGGGCCTTAACATTGTCCAAACTTTTTTCTTTTCTTTATTTTGCCTGGTTAAATTTACAAAGTTTGGCACCATTTATTTAAAAGGAAAAAAAAGAAAATAACTTTCTAGTTAACATGTGAATTACTTGGTGGCAGTTAAACTGCTGGACTGGGGGGAAGAGGGCCACAGGACAGAAGCTGAAATAGCATCACTAAGGGCAGCTTTTACTCAAGAAGTTTCAGTGTGGCATAAGCTTGACCATCCTAATGTAACTAAGGTGATCGTTGAACCTCTTCAACTCCTAATATGCACGAATGATTTAGACCTTCATAGATTAATGTCTTGACAGTATGCTGAATTGTGTGCACTGTCTCGTATTGAAGTCTTCACTTAAATGACCAGCGGCATGAGAAACGGCTGTGGAGCTTCTATACCTTGTTTCCGTTGTATACACCACCTTATCTAGCTTTTACATGACCTGTTGTGTGGGTGCCGGAGGAGGGGGGGGGGGGGG